ATTCAGCAAACTCACATAACTTCAATAATTTGCCAGATCTGAATATGGTCAAGTAATGCAATTAAATTCATTTTCGCCCGTTTCCTTCTTACAGAGAGGTATTTGTTAACCAACCTCAGAAGGAAGCAGAGGCGTTACCTCGACCACAGCTTGAACTCAGGACCTATCGGTTCTGTCGATTGAGCAATCCCGCTCTGAAGCAATGCACGAAAAATTCCTTGCTCAAGGGAATTTCAAAAAATGAAACTTTAATGTTGTCAAAAGCTGGGCGGTGTTTCACATTTTCTTGGCATGATTGTCCAGAATCAGGTTTTACCATGATTGTTCACTTTGGACAATGTAAATTTTAGTGCAGACTTCTTATGACAGTGATGAAATCAGCCTTCAGTTGACTTCTGAACGATGACACGTAAACACTGGCAGTCGAAGAAATTGCCTGACTTTTAGGTTAGTGATTTATATTATTAAACGCCTTAAAATCTTCGTCAGTTTACCCGTTAGTAGACTACGCGGATTTCGCTGAATCAAATAACCTTTCGCCAGCCACCGAAGTGATTGCTCACCCATATACGAGCAAACGAGATTTATATTTTAGGGCGACTGATCGATCGAATTATCAAATAATCAACAAAAGTGTTGCTGTTAGTTTTGAGCAGTATTTAATATAAAACAGGCAATTATAGAAAGCTCAAATAATGAGTTTATGAGAACTTACAGTAGATTGAATTTACAGATTTTAATTTAGTCGAACGCATTATGATCTTCATGTTTCCATCATCAACGATCAAAGACCAAAGTATTCCATCGGTGGAAGGAATACTTTTACAATCGGCCTGCCATGGAAGCCGAAAACGATCAACCATCAAAGTTTTGGTAATTGGAATCGACGAGCTCGCATTAGTTTTAAACGGAAATTTTCACAAGAAAGAAATTTGCCCTAAACCCCACCGTATCTATTAGTTGAAAATAAAGCGTTTGCATAAGCTGATTTGTAATATCGTTATCTGTCATAACCAGCGATGATTCACCATTGCATTTTCAGATGAGTCAATCATCCTTACTCATTAATCGGCTAATGGATCCTCCAAGTGCTGGGTTATTTCACTAACGGACCTTATTACCATTGATCTACGTGATAATAATGATGCTAATGTAATGTCCTCGTGTTTTCTTTCGTTGACAGTAGGTAAGTAAACACTTATGTTTTACTATAGAATTGGCATATGGTCCTGTAGAACTTCTCTAACTTAGCATCAAGTGCATAGGAAGGTCCCGTTATAGCATTTAGAAGGTCTACCTTTGCTAATAATCTTTTTTTATTCATAGTGGTGAATGGAAGTCAGCGGCTTAAGTGTGCCTTGTCATTCCAAAGCGAACCAATGTGGAATCTGATCTCTGCCGTTTTAGTAGACAGGAGGATCTGCTGTGAATCAAAGACGGATAACGTATTGGGCCCTGGTGAAAACTTGGAAAACTCAAACGACGCTAACATTCGTTCATGGAAACCCTAAGTTGCCATGTGCCCTGATGGGGAATATGTTGTAACACCCACCA